GGGAGATGTCTGTCGTATCGCTGAATTGTTGCCCAAATTAAGTGCGAACAATTGTGATGCGGTACTGAACGGAGCAACACTGGACAAGAAATGTGCTTTGTATATGTGCGTTTTTTATGGTTTATTTTATGGTATTTTTATAGAATCATTGTTATTGGTATGGGAGAAATATTTATGCTCGTGGGTTTATTCGCAAACATTTATTTGTTCGTTTGAAGAATTTTGTAATGTTAATGATGCTGAATAATTGAATGATTAGAGCGTGTTTGAACGGTCAAATAGACGTGGTAGAAGCGTTATTGAATGTGCGTGGTCATATGCTGATTCAACCGAATACACACGATACGGTCTTGCATGCAGCCATTTCATCACAACAGCCTGAGATTGTGCTGTTGATTCTGAGAGTGAGTTCATAATTGTTATTGTGATTATTCGGTATTATTATCGTTATTGGTATTTTTGTTGTTATTTTACTTGTCTTGTCTTTATTGACTTGGTTTATCGTTAATGCGTATTGTATTCTGAAGGCGTTCACACATTTGATCCAGTCAAAAAACGTCGACGGTAGCACACCGCTGCATTGGGCATCGCAATGCGGAAATTTGAATGTGGTGAAATTGTGAGTTCGTTTTCTATGGAATCTGTTCTTTAAAGTAATTTGTTCACTTATTGATGAGAATGACAGTGATAACAATTATCATTTATTGTTAAATTATTATTATAGATACTTGTGATATTAACGATAATAGTGATATTAGAGGTAGCGAATTGTAGCGATTAAATACTCACTGAGTACTGCAATAATGAATGTTTGATAATGGTATAATGAATGTACCGAAAGGTTAATGGAATACGCATATGAAGAGGATTTGATTACGTTAATCGAAGATGCCTCGACACGTTTCTCGTATCGTTTCGTTGCCGATGTGAACGCGTTGGATTCAAAATGCCGTACTGCGTTATATTTGGCAGTGGCTAACTCACACTTCGACGTGGTCAAATATCTTCTGGAAGTGAGCTCGGCTTTTTTT